CTGGACTTGGTGGGATGGCTTGTTTTTGCCATGTAAGGGGAAGTGCAAACACCCAGGTGGCCAGCTGTATGCTGGACTTATTTATGAACTTTAAATATTTTAGTATAAAACCCGGTGCTGCAGCAGATTTAGGAGGCACCAGTTGTACAGCAGAACAGGAGAAAAGCCAAAATGCAACATTTGCTCCCCAATGTCCACTTGCAGGAGCTGTCCCCAAGCTGGGATGTGCCTTTCCGGGAGCCCTGGTGATGGATTGGAGCGGTGAATGTGTTTGTTTTTTGCACAAGGATATAGGCACCAAAATGAATAGAAACAAAACAGTCATTGGTTTGCTTTTCCCATTAGGATGTCGTCTTAGCACAGTCACTTTGCGCAGGCAGGACCTCCTGGCAAGGGCACGCAGGGAGGTGGCGACCAAACTGCTCCATCAATTAGCAAATTGCGCTGTCAGAGTCCCTTAATTAGTGACTTCACAAAATCTCCCTTGGAGCTGATGTTGTATAGCTGCTCTGTTCCTGGCTGATGCTCGCTGGGAGGGTTCATAAATCACATCTGGCATCTCTGAGGCAGAAAAAGAGTTTCCACTCCAATGTATTTCCCTCTTGTACCCCTGCTCTCCTTGTCTTTTTCCACTTAGCTCACTGTGCCTCTCCATCTCTGTTTTAGTTAAATCCTTTCTTGGCCCACTACTCTGATCATGAACCTGCAGGAACTGGTGTTTCCAAGGGGGAGACCCTTTAGTTGCAAGAGCTGAAGGCGCTGATCTGCAACCAAGATAAGCACAGCAGGAGCTCTTCAAGGACATGTTCATCACTGAGGCTCTGGCCACATGTTTAATATAAACATTTGTTGGTCCCAGACACCAGAATTTGTTCCATTAAAGACTGTAAAGCTCAGTTCCTGGGATGAGGAGGGATTGAGCATCCTCTGCCTGGCACAGGCTGAATCAGCTCCGGGGCGATGCTGGCCCCGGGGCGGGCGGAGGGAGAGGAGGTCCTGGGTTTCCTTCAGAGCCACTGGGAAAATAAAAGCCCAAAAGTGGTTCCTTTCTGCCATTCCCCCTTTTCCTTTTCCACTGCCTTTCTCCAAGGGCTCAGGCATTTTGTATGGTGAGGGCATTACCCCCTGCAATACCTGGGGAGTAACTGCATCACGTGGGTAGCAGCCAGGTAGTCCTCAGAAAATACCAGAAATATTAATTCTGGGGAAAAAAAGGGCCTTCCTTTGTTTAGTGCTTTATGACTATTCTGCCAGCTCCTACAGTACCTGTTACCTGAGCAATTAATTTGCCACGCATTTATCATTACAACAGCTTATTAAGCTCAGGGAGCTTTGCCACTTCTTCCTTTAGTTTAATCCTTACAGTCACGTGTCAAAGACTTTTTTTTTTCTCCCTCCTCCAACTGTGCCTTAAAAATAGAAATATAAATAACATAATTCCTTGTGCTAGCTGAAAAACTTCCTTTTTTAAGAGTGAGCCCAGCTCCCTCTGCCTGTCCCTTGGTGTTGCATGCTTCAGCCTCAACCGCCTCAGGGGCTCTGCTGTCTTTCTGATGCTTCCCTGTAGTTTCTATTATTAAAACTGCATATTTTTTCTTTTCTAATTGTGACTAGGAAGCTAGTTTTGAGCTCAGTTTGGAGTTGGCCCATGGCCCGTGGAGGGGTGGGAAAGTGTTTTGGCAAGGGGAGCTTTTGAAGCCCTGGTGAAGAGGGACATCACCGAGAGCAACATCTAACTCCCTTTAAGGAACGTGCTGGAATTGGAGCTGAAAGCACCTTCTGCCTTCCAGAAGTCACTTGCTCACATGTATCTACTGTTTGTGCTATCAGGGACGCAATACAGAGGCTGAAATTATGAATGTAATACTTCCTTTTTCTGCTCTATTGAATTGCATTTAGAACACTGTGTTGGATCTTTTAAGAGAGCAGCTACGGTTTCTCCATCACCTTTGCAATGAATTTATTTGGACTTCATATTTCATAATATTTTTCCCCGAGAGAGGCTGTTACATTTCTCGTCTCAGCACTGCTTCCTGATGGGCAGGAAGCTACAGCAGTACCAAATATCTCATTTGTGCATAGAAGAACAGACCTCTTGAATCCCTTGAGTTGTGGCAAGGAAAGATAGACGTTTTGGGGAATGAGGAATAAAGTGTAGATCTGGGATAGGACGAATGTGAAGAGACGGTTGAATAAGTGGTGTTCCCCGTCAAGCAGATGACACCGTTGCAGAGAATAGTAGATTTTGAGACGAAGCAACACTTAATGCTGATTTATTCATTGCTTTGCAGGTTTGAAACTTTTGAAGTGAATAGCTTTGAACAGTTTTGTATCAACTACGCCAACGAAAAGCTCCAGCAGCAGTTCAACTCGGTAAGGTCAGCTTGGAAACGTTCCACAAAACTTAGCAGAAAATGTATGATGGCGGCATTATTGTCTGTCTGGCTTCTGCTTAATGGTATTTACCTGCAGCATGGCCAGCAGGAACGTAGTCCTTGGGATACCCTCTCTCCTGGGCAATGATTGTACATTGCAATTGCACTAAATATTCATATCAAGTTGAAAATGTTGCTTGCTTGATTGATAAGCTTGATATGGGAAGCAGGTTTGCAAATGGTTGATGCAAAGGTTCACTGATGGTTTTGAATAAATGGGTAGTTTGCCAAATTTCTCTTTTTTTGGCATAGTTTCAATCCTAAACTGAGATAAACCTGGATAGTGTTGTGCTGAGTCCTGATATCCAGTGTGTGACAAAGCGTGGGTGGAAACCTGACCGTTAAGTGTGGTTTAAACCCCTGCAACTACAACTCTGTGTTAAATAGCAGGATTGGACACACTCCCCATTTTTCACTTGGACATGCCTCACAGAAGCCTGAGATTCTTCATTTTATTAGATATAAGCGCTTACCTGCACTGGATATGAAACCAGTAAAGGCGTCATCTTCTGTTTTTGTTGTAAGCAGGGGAAAAATTACTATTAGTTTCAGGATACGAGGGGAAGAAAAAACTTCTTAAATTTGAGCAGCTAAATACTGCAGAGTAACTTGGCATTTTGAAACCATATCATATGCGGGGACATGAACATTTGTGGTATATCTAATGCATCAGATCACTGCTGCTAAAAATGAAAAGTAAATTATGGATTGTATTTGCACTACTCATATCTTTCTTAGTATGTCCAACTATCACTTCTGAAGCTTATGAATTCAAACTCTGAGATGACATGTTTGAAGAGATTTTTAAAAGCCATCTTTGAAGAAAAATGTGCATTTGAAAAATCATTTGTTAATATGCTTAGAGTATCTCAGAAATAGCCAGAGACAATTTATCTGCTTGGGCAGAGGTCTGAGATATATAAGCCATGCAAAGATTTTTTTTTTTAAATTTTTTTTTTTAATAAGAATCTACAGTAGAAATTCCTGAGTCAGTTAGATACTGCTGCTGATATCTCTTCTAGGGTGACGGGTGCGCTTTGTGAAGCTCTGCTCGCAGATGGGGGCACATTTGCTCAGCCCAGGCTTGGCTCCCAGCTTGTGAACCTGCTGCAGGTCACTAGTTTAATCAGCAGAGCACTAAAGGAGAGAGGGATTTTTCTCAGCCCAAGAGAGATGTATGTCATTGCCATTTCAATGTATGGTTCACACCTAAATGTAGTGACAGCTTCAGTCGTTTTCTAGTGAAAGTCATTTAAAGCCTTTTATTTCCCCCCTGCCCCATGGTTTTCTAGTGTAATGCTTTTATTTTCCTTGCCAGAAGCTAGATTATTTAAACGGCAGAGCCTCTACAAAGCTGTACATGAGGGCACCTAAAGCTTCTATGATTTCTGGATGTACTGGTGGAATGCTCTACTCCAGTGGGGACGAGTGGGTGAACAGGGAAGGGGCTGATGATCAGTAACTCTGCTGTTTTTCCACTCTCAGCACGTATTTAAGCTGGAACAAGAAGAATACATGAAGGAGGGAATCCCTTGGACTTTCATAGACTTCTACGATAACCAGCCCTGCATAGATCTTATAGAGGCGAAACTTGGTGTCTTGGACCTATTGGATGAAGAGTGCAAGGTAAAGAGGACCACCCACCTTTTCGCTGGCATTTTGATTTTTATAAAAGGTTAAAAAATGGACTTTAACCTGTGGCAGCTTGCAAGAGGGTAAACATCTCCTTTCACATGCATTGCTGGGGTGCTTATGGCTAGAGTAGGCCGTTGGCATTCACTTTGCTTTGGCACTGTTCAGAACCTCCTTGGCAGATGTTTGCTACCAACCTGGGTACCTGGTCTCACCAGGTATTGCCAGAGCTCGTGTTTCTGGCCTGACTGTGCATAGGGATAGCCATCGCTTGTAACTTTTGATTTCTTTAACATTATCCAGGAGCTGGAGTTCCTCCCTGTCTCAAGCCTTATTTTGTCCAACGGGAAACCTGAGTCCTCTTGTGATAGCTGTTTGGGATAAAGTTGATTGCATTTAGTGTACAGAGTTCAGATACTGGAATTTGTGCTTCAGTGGCACATGGCCTATAGAAAAAAAGTGTCTGGGAGGGTCTCCAGTTTGGTTAGCCTTGCAGCATCAAGGGACATCAGCCACACAACGAGGATTTGCTGAAGTCGATGCAAAGCTCTGGCTGACTTCAGGCAGGCCTGGATTTCACACGTTTTGCAGGAGACTGAAATTGCATGTCCCATCTGCTCCTTTGAGATAGAGAAGCAGGAGTCAGAGATGACCTGTAGAAATGTCTTCAGTTGTGTAGGCTTCTTGTTTAGCCATTCCTTGAGAATTATTCTCTTGGGTTTGGAATTGTGTCTTCCGTCAGCTTTTCTGAGTTTTGGGTTTGTGGTTGGTTGGTTTTGTTTTGTTTTGTTTTTTAAACCAAGCTTGTAATATTGGGAGAGTAGTTTGCGATCTTTTATTATCTGTCTCTCATGACAGCCTGAACTAAATCTTGCTTAAAAGTTGAGCAGAAATTCCAGAATGGCAACCCATCATGAGAATCCATAAGAAAGGTTGGACTCCTTGTTCACTCCTTGTTCAGTCATGAGTTATCAAATATATGTGGAACAAGAAATGTAAGATGGAAGATTTTCTTGGGAAGTTGGGATGGCTGTTTTGAAGGTCTTTGGTGTGAAGAGTAGGTGTAAAGTGTAGAGTTTTTAGGTGTGGTCATGTCAACAGGAGAGCTCAGAGTGATGGTGTGATGAAAAGGGCTCCTACATGGGGCAGAGCAGCTCATATCCTTTCCAGTCCTGTTGTCTGCACAGCAATGATGATGAGGAAATACTGGAGAATGTGTGGTCACACCAGGACTATAAAATGTTGTGATACTGAGGATAAAGGAACTTGAGCGCTGCACGTGAGTGGCTGTGATAGTCAGTGGGAGGGTTTTCAGACCTTTTGACACAAAAACCTCCTAGCATGCATTAGCTAGAAGTTGGACAGATTCAACCAATCTTTTTAATGCTGAGAACAGCCTATTGGAAGAGGATGATGCCAGTCTTCCTTCTGATGTGGCTACCTTGCGGATCCTCAGACTGGTTCTGCTATGGTGTGATCAACAAGCTGTCTTTGGGAAGAGTTTCCATTGAGATTCGGATATATTCTGTGCCAGGAAATGTCTTACTGATTGTGGAAGGGCTTTGAGGGTTTTTGAATGAGGGCAGGGAAGGGTGAGGCAAGGGGTGGTGGGAGAGCTGAAGCAGGCAAGGGTCCCTTCACCAGGGTAGTTGAAGTGATGAGAAGGACACAGTGAATTCCTTTTGGTTCTGTGGGATTTGTGGGTACGGGACAGATCCAGTGGCACGAGGGCAGGAGTGTCATGTTGCATCAGAGGGAAAGGTTTGGGATCCATTATTTAGCCTAGTGTCCCTGTTGCGGTTTAAGGACATGTATGACTTGTCTGGAAGCAAGGTGGCCTGTCAAGTGGCTGCTCTTCTCCATGCAACAGGGCTGCCTTCCCAGGCATGATGAGGGTGTCCCAACCTGCACGTTTCATAAGCTCAGCCCTGTCTGGGGTACAGATGCTCGGCTATCTCTTTGTGATGAGCTGGAGCTGGGGCTTTGCCATTTTCAAATCCAGTATCAGGAAGACTCCTTAAAAATGAGAACAAATTAATCTGATGCCCTGAAAATAGCATGTCAGCTCAGAAGGAGGTCAGATTATTTGCTTGATATTACACTCTGCTCCGCGTGTTAAATTCTTCAGTCTAGAACCAGATCCTGAGGGTTTTGAAGACCATAAGGCAAGTTTCCCTCGTGCCGTATTGGCTGATGATGCCTTTTGCTCCTCTCCAAAGCACCTGGCACTAGTTGCTGCTGCTGACATCGCGTTAGATGGAGCAACTCCTATGCAACAGCAGGTATATGGCCAACCTTGCCGTAGATCTGCCTGGTACTACTTTGTCCATCTGTGCTTTTTTTTTTTTTACCAAAAAACTGAAACACAAGTTCTATTCCTCCCACCCCCATCTTGACATCAAATGCCAGTTATCTTGGTATTTACCTGTCAATGGGAAATGCTGTCATTAGTCACAGGCCCTTATTATGGGCCCTCTAATTTACTCTTTTATAATAACCTGCAAGCATTCTCCAGCTTTATGAAAATTCCAGCAAAACCTGTCAACTGAAAACACCAGTTTATAGATGAAAACCTTCACCCCCACATCACCAGCAGCAGCGTTTCACCTCTTGAGGAGAGCTGGCCACCGCGGGCGCGGGACCACAATAGGGTAATTGCAAGCCATCTCGTTAGCAGGTACAACGGCAGATAAATATACTCTGGGACTTGAAATGGCATCAAGGGGGGTCCTGGCAATATAATAAAACATTAGTGCAAATGCAGAGGGTTTGTCGCTAATGTTCTCGTTTCACAGTATGGATTTTTCTTTTTTTTAAAAAAAAAATCTTTAATGTGAGGTGGGGAAGGGGGTGGTTGGGTATGTGCTGAAGCAGTTAAGCTAACGAAGGTTATGCGAGAGTCTTGTCACCGTTTAGAGAAGGGGACCAGGCAGAGTTGGAACAGGAATTGGCAATGAAAGAGAGGGCTTTCGAGATTGGAGTTTTAAGGACTAAACCTGTCTCATGACAGCAAATGTTAAAACACTAGCTCTGAAAAAAAGAGGGATGTAGGATGTGTTTGGGTTTGGGTGTTTTTAAATATGCTTGATTTTTTCAGGAGTTGGAGGCTGTTGTAGAATTATTAAGGTTGGAGGGGGCTTCTGGAGGTCATTTTGTCCAACCTCCAGTTATGTCCCTGGTCTGCCCAGGAAGCCTTATAATCTCCATGGGACTGTGACCTTATGTCCTCTGCTAAGTGACCTTGGAGTCCTCTAAGTGCCTTTTTCCCTGTTTCCTGCACTGGAGTGTCACCTGCCTGGATCTGGAGCTTTTAGGACGTCTTGGTTTTGTTGTGGCCTAAGAAGATGCCAGAGGAACAGCAAGAGTTCATGTCCCATTCACAGAAATGGCCTCGGCCAGAAACCAAGGCCACCATGACAGGGGCAACGTTGCAGTGCTCTAGCACAAACCGATGAGCCTGAAGAGGAGGGAAAGGGCAGAAGGGCATCCAGGAAAACCTCCCTGCAAGTGAGCTGTGAAGTGTGGATGGAGTCACCGTGGGGCCAGTGGTGGTGGTAGGCTATAATTTGGGATAAGAGCAGAGCCCTTGAGGAGAGCAAGGAGACCAAGGTAGAGCATTAGGGCATTAAGGAGGGAGACTGTCTTGTGAATATGCAGTCGTGGGAAGTTGGGAAGGCACGTGGAAGATTGCTTGGATGTCTGGGATGGCTTTGGGGTATGGTTGGCCGTGTTGTGGAGGGAATTACTTTGGTGGAGGGGACAGCAGACTTCCAAGGAAGACTTTGAAGGGTTTGAGGGAACATGTGAAGAGTGACTTCCGTGCTCTGGAGAGGAGGAGCCAGCATGAAGTGCTTCTAAAAGGGTTTGATCAAGAATGAGCTGGTTGGAAGGGTTGATGTGTCAATCACAGCATCATTGTTCACAACTTACTATGGATCTTAATGAAATTCTTTCCGCTGAGAAGCAACATGACCCTGAGGCTGCCAAAGGGCGATGTGTGTAACCAAACCCGCACGCTCCCTCATGTTCTCAAACACTCTTGTGTCTTCATTATGTGTTTTATGGCACATTGCCATCGTGTTACACTGTTAATGTGCCAAATGCATTTTCTAACACTGTTCAAAAGATGCTCTTTAACCTTTCCTGTGTCCTTCTGTCAGGTGCCAGAAACACTAAAGTCTGCTTCTAGCAGACCGGTTTTCAATCGCACTTGTCTCTGTGCATCTCTGTGAACTTGGGTATCTGAGCAAATGTGTTTTCCTTGTCTGGATTTGTTAATTTTTTGAACATCAGAAATCAGCATGTCATCTTCCTGTGCCGCACGGTCCTGTCCGGGGGGATTTCTGTTCCACAAGCAGATACATGGAGGCTGGACCTCTGGGCTTTCCTTTCGGGTGGACTGCCTAATCCGATGGCAGAATAACCTCGCCTACGTCATGCTGTCACCTTTTATGACTTTAAAGTCAGGCACATCACTTGCAGTGGAACGTGTCCCTGGAGCACGGAGGAAGCCCAGACTCTTTTCAGGCTTTAACATATATTGGAGTGATGAGGAGAAAAGAAATAGAAATTTAAATAGCTTCTACTGTGTTTTCAGAGGGTTGACTTTTAGTCATTAGGTTTGAATGGACCTTCATTGCTTATCCAGTTAATTGTCCTTCTGTTGGAGGTGATGGTGGAGGGAATCTCACCCGTTAGTCCAAACATCTTCAAACATCTCCTCGGCCGTCTGGTGGTCGTGCTGGGTTCTTGACCCTGGGATGCCTCTGATAGAAAAGCTCTGGACGTGAGCCTACAGGCTGATGCTGGCTGCGTTGTGTAGGTTTGATTTCAGTTGTAGTAGCTCCTGGCAGCTCAGAGGACGGTGTATGGAGACGGGAGGTGGCTGGGATTACACTTCCTCACTGATTTTTTTTGCAGAATGATGGGCAGAGGGACGGTGTGGACAGACGAGCAGAAGCGGTGACCTCGTGAAATTACTTATCTGAGGTTTTTTCCTATTCAGAAATTTCCTTACAATACTTGCAAGGCAGTTGATTTTCATCTTCCCCATCCCCTAAAGAAGTCTTGCACTGATGAGATAATCTCTAACTTTCTCACTGGCTTTAAGGCTTTAAACTGCTGAGCCAGTACCAAAAGCTGTTATAATAGTAGAGATAATGGCGCTGTTAGTTTTTATCTCCGGGACTTGGTCCCTATCAGGTGCTTCTCAGGCAACTAAAAATACCCAGGCTGCACAACGGTGAGCAGGGAGTGGTGTGGGTATGGCAAAACTCTCTTTCTGGGAGTCGGGAGCGATGCCTTTGAAGCTCAGCTCTGAGATAAGCAGTTTTTTCACCAAAGTGGATGACCTAGAAGAGAGCTGGTGCAGGATGAATCTGCTCTCTGCAGCATCAGGCAGCTCAGGTGGCTGTGGTCTCCTGCTCTGCACCTGCGGCTTGGTCCCGAACGGGAGAGACCTAATGATTGCCCCAGAGAGGATGTTTTCATCAGTTATATTTCATATTTATATGTAAAAAAGAAACCCATCTGCATTTATATAACTCCATAGTTTAAATATGCATGTCTATCTTGCATAAACTATGTATATAATTGCATAAATAAATGTCTTTTAATATTTATATCTAATCTGTATTATTTCTATGTGCATCCATAATTTGCCACGCTTAACAACTGTAAAATATAAAATACTTCTGGGATAGCATGACTTGCATGAGTGGTTACTGTGTTTAATTCAGCCACCTCTCCCAGTTAATGGGGATGGGCAGGAGCTGATGTCCAGAACCCTTCTGGTTTGTTTTGGCTTGCTGGCATGAAATCAAAGGTTGTTTCAGAGCAGCATAAAGAAATATTCCTCATCTGTCTGAAGTTTTCCTTCTTACTATTTGCTTCCCCTACTTCCTCTGTCACTTTTTATAGACAGATCTACATAAAGACCTGGTGGATGATGCAGAGCTTTCCCTGACGCTGAAGAGTTGTTTTGTGGTTTCTAGGCTTTGCCCCATCTAATTTTAAATATCACCTAACACTTTTCTTCTGTCTCTTCTCCTTTTCTAACCTAAATAATCCAGGCAGGAGGGATGAGGACGGACCCCATCAGCTGTTGGTCCCCAGCCCTTGAGTGTAAAAACTTCACTCCTTGTTTCCTTTGTTTTTTAAGAATTTTGCTTTGTGTCAAACTTGTTGCGCTGGAAAAGTACAAAATTTCAGATATTTACAGCCACGGTGATTTCCTTGTACACCCGTAGTCTTTTAGAAAGCTTTGGAGGGGGTTGGGACCTAAACATGCCTTTAGGGAAAGGAATTGTAATCAGGAGAGTATCAGGAGTTATAATTAATTGTTATATGCTGCTATTCAGCTATATGTGCTTACAAAATAATAAATCCAATATTCTTTTTTCCCCCTAATCTTGGCAATATATTGCATTAAGTCGACAATGATTTACTGGGTAAAAATTGCAGGTGCTGAGTAGGAAGGTAAGCTCAAACCCTCCTTGTAACTGCTGATTTGTGAAATGTACCCTATTCCCTTGCTGCACAGGTTTTTGGTGGTTTTATTTTTGGTTTTTTTTTTTTTTTGGGGGTGGGGTTTTTTTGGGGTTTTTTTTTTGTTTTTTTTTGTCATCGTAGTTGTTTAGGATTTCTCTGTTCTCTGCCCCGTCCTACTAAAGCAATGTCTTGGGCAACACCTGATATCTTGGAATACTATGGTCAAATCCTTTCAAGTGTGGGTCTGCTTAGGACTTGCACCCTGATTTCAGTGTAAATAGGATGCAGAAGGAGAGTTTGGCATCCAGGAGATACTGCTTTAGTTTTTTTTCCTGCAAGAGCTGCTCTGGCAGTTGGAGCAGAAACAGCATTTGGGTGTATTTCACTGGAAACAAAATTTTAATTATTTTCATGTATATTCTTGACAAATACAAGTAGCACACGCCGCCAGAACTGGGAGGTGGACTTTGTTTCTCAAATATTGCTGTAGCCCATGTGGACTACAGGAAGCCCATAAGGAGGGTTCCTCCAAAACCTCCCCACACCTCTTTTCTGTACCTGACCACAGTTTTTGAGTCCATTTTTCTCCCCATCCAGGTTCCCCAAGGCACCGACCAGAACTGGGCACAGAAGCTGTACGACCGACACGCCACCAGCCAGCACTTCCAGAAGCCCCGCATGTCCAACACCTCCTTCATCGTCCTGCACTTCGCAGATAAGGTAACCGGGCGCCCGTTGCGTCTGCTGGGACTCAAACACAGAAATGGGAAATGCATGGAGAAAAGGAAGAACCACACGAAGAAAAATTAGTTTATAGCACTTACGAGCTGCTTTTTGGCGATAGGGATGCCTGGTTGGCGGTAATCTTGGTTGGGTGCTCTGATCTAGATCAGCTTGGAGGACTTCAGCGTCCAAATTATTGTGCTGAGCTTTAAATAGTTGTGCTTTCTAGGGTAGAGAAAAATCCTCTTTCTCAAAGCTGTGGCAAAATGAGTATCTGCAAGGGCAGCTTGACTGAAAATATATTGGAAAAGGAAATTATTTGTGAAGAGGAGGAGCTGTGAGCATCAGCGAGGCACAGTGGGGAGAAGCTCGTGAGAGGTGACCCTGGGCTGATTCCACCCTTTTGAGGGAGAAAATGCCAACTGTGGGTCTCTAAGTCCCAGTGTCTAGTGCTGTAGAGTCTCGTCTGTGGGCTCCAGCTTCACTGAAACCCTGGTGTGAGAGGCAAATAAGAAACATAAAAGCTTGAAGTTATCCAAAACTCATGTTTGTTAGAAAGGAAAATGTAAGACCAAGCTGGGGATGTTTCTGAGGAGCCAGGTGACATGTGGGTACTGCAGCCTTGTGCAGGCACTTCTAACCAGGCTTGCTCTGCAGGCAAGCAGCACTTTTCGTGGGAAAGGTTGATACTCACCTTTCCTTAGGCACGTGATTTTGCACACGTATCTCTCACAAATGTTGTTCCTTTGCAAGCTTTGACTGTCTGCTTTGTGATCAGTTATTTCAGCCAACTTCAAATGTAAAAAATTACATTTTCCTCTGTCCTTTCAAATGTCTTCCCGTGCTCCCCAACTCTCTGTAGTCTCAAAACTGAGACACCTACAAGAGACATAGCCAGGAGATCTGAGGTTTACTGATTAGTTTACGAGGAACTCAAGAGTCAACAAAAGAGCATTTCTACCCCTCGTTTCCGTGGAAGTGCAGTTGGGTCCCGTACAGAGCAGTTTAAAGGCTAAGAAACCATTCGTGTTTGTGTTAAGGATTTTGCTTTCATTCAGATTCACTGTCTTTGATAAAAAGTGACCTTTAAATTCCAGTTGCTCCCCACACCGCTTCTCCCTCTCAGATTTCTCAGGTGGGCTCCTGACAGTAGGGGGGTGGTGGGGCACAGCACCTTGTCCCTGTGCGGTTGGGCTTTATCCTCTGGGCTTCTTCCTTTGTCTCTGGCTAGGTGGAGTACCAGAGCGAGGGATTTCTGGAGAAGAACCGTGACACCGTGTACGAGGAACAGATCGACATCCTGAAAGCCAGCAAGGTAAAAGCAAGAAGTTGGGGCAGTGGTCCTGGTTGGAGCTAAATCGGTGCTGCTGCTTTCCAAAGTGCAGGCATCGTACAAGCCTTCAGCTTGCCGTGTATGTGAAATGTGCAGGTGCCTCCAACCACAAACGTCAGCAGAAGAGGCAAATAAAAGAGATGTGGAGGAGGGAGTAAGGCGGGAGAGGAGGGTGCCGGGGGCTGCGGTTGCACCCAGGTGTGGATGTGCATGGTCCTCTGCTCTCCTCTGTCCTGGTGTTGGTATCCTATCAAGATGCATCACAAAAATCCTCTCCAAACCTGCCGATCCTCATCGTTTTGTTCACAGAGAGCAAAAATAAGGAACAGCCAGTTATGGGGCAGCGTAAATCCCACTTGACTCTTGCTCGGAGCTCCCCACCCATCACTTGGCACTAAAGGTGTTCTCAAAAGCATGTGGAGCCACAGGTGATCCTGGTATTAAAAGGCACAGTCAGCAGTGTAGTTTGTCTGTTGTGGGTAGTGGTGCTGACCCTACCACCCTCCTGTATGAAAATGGCTGTTCCCCTTAGCGGTAGTCCATCATACTTGGCCCTGTGACTTTTCATGACTTTAATAATTAGCATGCAAAAAATAGGGTTAATGTACAGTGCTGGAAATGTAACATGAACTCTGAGATATTCCAGCTGCTATAGAGCTATTTTACACTGCCAAAAATAATATTAACAAATTAACACAATACTGATGCTGTTGCTCGTATATTACAAGATTGCCATGTACCTTTCCTCTCCCGGGTATTGTAAAAACAGCTTGTCACCACTTGTATCGGTGCCAACAGAGACGTATTGACTGACCTCAAATGCCAAGTTTCCTGGTAAAGAGCTTTTTGGCACCTGGGGTTTAAAGTCTCTTAGTCCCAGGAGCTGTGTACTCGGTGGTGTGTGGGGAGCAGGAAAGCAGTAGCTGTGGGGTGTTGCAGGCTTTGGCGTGGGTCCTGCCTGCAGTAAACGAGCACCTGGCAAGTGGGCTTCAAGCTGGAGACTTCCCACTTGCATGTGTGAACCGAGCCGGTTTTATGCTGACTCTTCTGCTCCATGAGCATGCATCCGCACTGGGGTGCGTTGGGTTAAAAGTGTCAGTGATGTAGACTTTTAGGGCATTTCAAGCTCCTATTGTTTAGAACCAGACCAAAAATCCCCCCTGCAACGTTGAGTCTTTCATTGTCAATTAATGAGCTGAGATTTTAAATGACCTTAACCCTTCCAGGGGCAGCTCACTTATTAAGGTAGTATGAAAATCCAGCCCTGCAAAGTTCAACATGCCAACCAGCAGCCAAGATTGAGACTGCATGACTCTGAGGCACCGTTGTTTCCATCAGACCTTGTGGGTGGTGTAGGAAGGAATATATCTGCTTTTCTCCAAACCATTTCAAAGCCTACCCCAGCACAGACCAGCTTGCTAACTGACTTTTTTTTTTTTGTGTGTTGCACATTTTGCATCCCTCCTGCACATTGCAAGTGGATGTGTTGCATATCCATATTTCTCCTCTTTGTGCCACTCTCCCTTGGGTTTACGGCTGGGTGTGACCTTCCATATGCCACCATAAATAAGGAGTGTAATGAGGGAGGAAGGAGGAAGTATTATTTTTAGGAGCGTTTTAAGCAGGAGTTTGTTCCTGGCAAAGTGAGAGAGATGAAAATGGGAAATTAATTGAGCATTGTTGGTGGATTGCCCTGTGTCTCAGCAATGAATCCATACGAAGATAGCAAGATGTGCAACTTTCTCATCCATGGGGGCACTTGTGAGTCTAATAACTCCAAAGCTGGGCTTTAATAACACCTAAATCAAGATCTCTGTGTGCTTGGGAAGCTCGCAGCTTTCCCAGGGTAAAGACTGGGTATGATTAGAGCTTGCTAGAAATGCCAGGTGACCTGCAGGAATAATTGATGCTGTGTGATGAATTATTTAGCCGGGGCTGAACTTGCTGTTGGAGGTAGTGCTGCAGAACTGGCAGTGTCTGATAGGGATTTCTGTTTGACTTCTCCCTATAGGTGCAGAGGAGAGCTGTAACTCATCGGGTTAGTGTGTTGTAGAGTGGGGAGGGCGGTGCCACCTGCAACTCATTCCTTAAAAAAAGCAATTTAAAAAAATGCTGAAATGAGTTTATTAACAGCATCAGCTCCTCTTCTCTCTCTCTATAAGGACCATAACATAATGTCAGGGCAGGCTAGGCTTTGGTTTAATAGCAAAAAAACCCAAACCCTGCTCCTTGCAACTGGTTTGCTTGGCCTTAAAACATGGAATTTCTATGGCTCAGGCCAAACGTTTGGGCTTACTTGGCCTCCAAACTAAGCTGATGCTCCTTGGGATCAGGTGTTAGGACCTTGTGAATTCATGGTGGTGGCTCTGTAGGTGACACCAAAATCTGCATTTGTGATCTAGATTAAAATGCTCTCAAATGCACTTGGCTCTGAGAACCTTTGAGTGATAGTTTGATGATCTTCTGCCTTTGAGCCATTTCTTTAACAACATGGGAGCGGTGGCTGCTGTCAGCCCGTGCCGATGCTGTGCTGTCCCAGGAGGAAAAGCAGAGCTTCCCTCAGCAGGAACATCCTTGCCCTCCTCCTGCAAAGTCCCCAAAACCTGATCTTCTCCTCCTGGTTTCCCTAACCCCACTGGCCAGCAGATTCAGTTTTCCTGACTTTTTTTATTTTTATTTTTTGTTGCCTCTTGCCTACTGTGTGCCCTCCATGGGTATAAACAAATATATTTTTTTTTTCTTTTGCTGTTGAAAGCTACCCAGCTCTTTCTCTGAACCAAGAGCAGTGGCAGTGCTGAGTCTGCTGCTCAGACGTGCTAATTTGACTAAAACTTAAATTTGTGCTGCAAAAGGCGAGGACTTTGTCCTGTGCACAGGATCAGGCCTGCATACAGTATTCACTGCATTCTTCCTTATATTCCCACTAAGGTAATACACAGCTCAAGGGGGGACACTCAATTCAACATGGCAAGGACTTCAGCACCTCTCCGTCAGCGAGTGCATCGCTGATGAAGCACTCCCACCAAGGCAGAATTGTGTTCTGCTAATTAGAATGCAATTACTGCTGTCAACAAGATGGTGAAAGAGACTTTATAAAGCAACTAATTAGTTTTTCTAGCACTGGTCAGCTAAAATAGTTGAGAGTTGATGTGCTTTGAATTAAGGAAACCAATTTGAATACTGATTGAAAGACAACAGTCATGCTGTTAAGATACTATATTCCAGTTTTCTGTAATTGCAAATAATGCACCAATGGTTTTGACTCCACCAGTTGGGAAGGAAGGATCTTATCCCCCAGCATTGGTGGAATGGATGCTGGGCTGCTAATGGTGATCCCAGTTACACCAGTTTTGCTTTACACCAGCTGAAAGCTCACCTCTGAGATCCTTGCCGAGCATTTGTGCAGGAGCAAGCACTCCTGTTAATAATAGCAAGAGAATGGAGGGGTAGATGGCACTCCCAGCTTTGCCTTGAGAAGCTATTTTGAAATGTAAAATTACAGCCGGGGGTTTCGCTGCCTTATCAAGCACGAGAGCGTGAAGTGGAGCCGGTGTTGGATGTCTTCCAGAATCAAGCATGTGTCACCCGAACATCCCGTGTTTGCAGGAGTCAAAGCACCCAAGCCAGTGACGTGTCATCAAAGCACAACAGCTGTCGGATTGTCTTTTTTTTGGGGGATAGAGGGTTAGGCAAGAAAGGTGCCAGCCTTTATTTTGGTAGGAGTTGAGTGAGCTGCAGAGATAAAAATAAAAGCTGTGAGTATGAAGCAGACCCGTAGCAGGCGCTGTCCTGGAGCCTGCAAGCAATTTGCTAATGTGATGCAAACAGTTTCCTTTCCACAGTGGTATTTAGGCTGCCGTGCTAGCAAGCTGTGCGAACAGCCTGTGGGACCGGGGCTGGAAATGTTCCTGTCTCAGTCCAGGGATGTGGCAGAGAGCCAGGCAGCCCTTCACGGCACGGGGCTGCCAGTTAATGTCTATAAAGTGGTGAACCCCTGTGTTCTTCTTGGGATCTTAATGGAAAAATGACCAGGCTTGGTTTTCGGAGGGGCCTGGGATGGAGAGAAGAGTGCTGTGCAGTGCACCACTGCCTTGTGTCGGTGTTTTCACGTGGACATGTTGGGCACGGCGTGCCACGGACAAGGGAAGCGTGATGCTGGTGCCCTGTCCCACGGCTGCTCCGGAGCAGGAGGTCTGCATGCTGCTGGGGTGGCATCACGGGTGCTTCGGCAGTGTCACCGGGCTGGAGCCCAGCTCAGCTTGGTGATAAGTGAAATCCCACCTGGTGACAGTGGCTTTTCTTACATTTAAGAATTTGATTGTAAGTGCAGCTGTACTGGAAACCAGTGTGGGTGCATAGCTGGATTTGAGATGCGAAAATTAACAGCTCTGCTAAACAGACCAGATTTATTGTGACTGCGTTAGTACTCAAGTTTCCCCAGCCTAACGCAAATTTGAAGATCCTGCCTTTTAAAAAACAAATAACATTAACTGCATTTGCCAGCTCACCTGTTCTCCTGTTATGAAGTGGAAGTGTGGCTGCTGACTTGCCAGAAACCCTAGACTTCAGGGATCTGAGGAACTAAATGTGGTACTTTCAGGGCTGCTGTCGCCTTGCTTATTCACGCTGAAATGCAGGTAATTAGTGAGGAAGTACTGGTGTCTCCTAATTGTCCGGAAAAGCAAGGGTGCCTCTGGGGCCGTGGTGGGAGCGGGCTGCACCCCGTTCCTGGGGCGTGCGCTGTGCATCAGATGCTGAGTGAGCAGCTCGAAATGAAGCCTGGGAGCAAGAGTCGCTTCACGTTCAGGAGGTCTTGTGCCTTGGGCAACACATCCGTGATGCAGCCTGTCAGATCGCCATCCTCTTTTTTTTTTTTTTGGCTTGTTTGATTTAGTGTGCACATTTTGAGGTTTGATGAACTACAAAACAGAATGGCCAATGGTCCTCCTGATGTGGTTTATGTAGGCAACACTTCTTGATTTCACTTTATTGCCCTTTTTTCCCTTCCTCCTTTAAGATGGGGAAAAAAATGACCAGAACAATGTGACTTGGGTGGGTTCATTCAGCAAGGAGCAGGGCCAGAGGTGCTCAGACTTTCTCTTTCATTTTAGTATCAAATAGTAGCAGACTTATTCCAAGATGAGAAGGATGCTGCACCCGCCACTTCCATGGGAAAGGGAACATCCAAAATCAACGTTCGTTCTGCCAGACCGGTGATCAAAGCTGCCAATAAGGAGCACAAGAAAACGGTGGGACACCAGGTAACGTATGATGTGAGCGAGTCAGTCGACGGCAGGAGAATGGGGTGGGTGAATCCAGACACATTTGTACAGTTAAGATCTCATTTCTTCAGTCTGAAGAAGGGATAAATAAAAAGCTCTTGGGGAGGAAAGTGATGGTACTTTCCCGTGACCCATGCTGTAGGACGGGAACAGTTTTGCTGTTGTATTTTGGACACCTAGCAGTGTCTCTAGAAGAGCAGGCTTGAGTAGTCCTGACTGGAAGCAGCTGAGACATGGTATAAGGACAGCGGAGGCAACTCGGGGATTCACTGAACTTTATCCCAACGTACAATGGTGCTCATAAATTGAAACAACTTGAGAAAAAGAGCAATTTTTCCCCTGTGTGGACAGTCAAGCAGTGCGACAGGGTCCCAGAGAGGTTGTGCTGTTTCCACCCATGGAGGTTTTTCAAGACCCAACTGAGTAAAGTCCTGAGCAAACGTTTGTTGCTCTTGTACCTCATTGAGCTGGAAGCCCTCAACCCGACAGTGTTTTCTCTGGATTGCTCCTGCATGTCCTGGTCTGATGGGGAGGTTGATGCTATGTCTCATACAGAGACTGGCGCCGCAGGTGGCGTGGAGCGCCTGCCAGCTTGGGTTGCGTGGTACAACACCCTCATCCCTCCTCAAAACGAGTGGTTTTCTTTTTTCAGTTCCGCAACTCGCTGCATTTGCTTATGGAGACTCTGAACGCCACCACCCCGCACTACGTGCGTTGCATCAAGCCGAATGACGAGAAGCTCCCCTTTAAGTAAGTGGGCTTTCAGATGAGCAAATGCATTCAGCATTATAGCAACAGAGCGTGCTTTGGATTTTTCCTCCTGCTAAAGAGTGTGTCCCCCCTTGTAATGTTGTTCCTGTAACTGGAAGGTCCCTGTAGTTTGCTGGAGTCACTTCTCTTGGGTTTCATTATGTGTTTTTTGTGCCCCTGAAATGATGACTAATGCAGGTCCTAGTAATTTATAGATGTACTCTGCTAATACTGAGCATCCTTGTATTGCAGTAAGGGGGTCTTTGTACAATTTCATCTTAGAATCACTTTGATTTAAGTAGTCATAGTACTAAACAGTCAAAAGTAGCAAAGAAGGAAATGAAAAAGTGGAGATAAGTAGTGTGCTTGCAAAATGGCTTGTAAAATGAACAAAAATGTCACGGTGCTTATAAAATAAATGTGGAAAAAAGTAAAGACGTAACCTATATCAACTTCAGGCAAGTTTCCAGGGGAGCGAACAGCTGAAGCAAAAAGCCAGCCTTGATCTTCCTCTGTAGTTCAGAGGTGTATTGCAAGCTGTGAACATTGCGAGCAAATAGCTGTTAGCCTTGTTTGACCTCTTAGATAATGTATTTCTGCTCAATTTTGTTCCCTGTAACTCCAAAAAAGCTTGGCCATTAGTATGCAGGGACCTAATAGATCTTGTGATGTCTTCTAAAGGCCCTGGCGTAATCTGCAGGTGGTGACATTTAAGAAAGGATGATAATTGTGACCTGTAAGTGGGGAGGCATTGCCCTCCAGCTGGTCAAGAGCCGTCTAAGTGCTCCTGGTGAGCCACCTCAGAGTGCAGAGACGGCTCCAACAGCATCCTGCAAAGGAGGATGAAGCATCCGTGTAAACAGGCTCACCCTTGGATGTGATGTGCTGGTTGCATATGGATGCGCTGGGAAGCTTCCCCACCTTGGCAACCTGCTCTGCCCCCATAGCTACCCCAGCTTTTGAACATCGGAGGTTGGGCTAGAGACCCCCTAACGTCTCTTCCAACCTGCTTTGCTCTGACTCCTGCTTTACATCTTGGTGCAAAGGTAAGGTTTGTTTCTTAGGGGTGTCAGACTTACAACCTGGAGGAAGCATTGGCACCACCCAGTGATACTTGCTGTTTCTGACTGGAGGCTGTGTCTGAGGTTCATCCATTGTGGAGAAGACTTCAGAGAGAGAGAGGTGTGAGAGGAATGCTTGACTTCAGCTTGTACCTTTGACAATTTCCTTCCAAATTCTGTTTCAGGCAGAGTTTGTGATCTCTTACTTGAGTTTCCAGGCCAAAAACAACCTTCTGGGTGGTTCTACTTGCCACGGCAAGGAAAAGGAGTTCATAATAATGTGTATTGTCTCACTTTTAAGCTCTTTATTTCAGCCTGTAGCTGGAGTTGTTGCTAGAGAGGGTCCTGGCTTTCCATGCTGATAAATCACTGCAGCCGCTCTGGTTATTGCATTTCACCCCCACTGAACAGGGCTTGGCCGCGTTGCGGAAAGTTCCCCTCATGTACAATGTAGATTGCCCTGGGATCTCCCAGGACTGAAGCTTCCCTGTCCATCTGCCAGTCCTGTTTATTATATATTGTTATGGAAATTGTACCCTTGTGCGCTTCCTTGAAGCGAGTGACAGCCAAGACTGATTTTTCTACCCTGCATTGTGTTTGAGGTGTTGTAGTGAATAACTTGCTGTAGACTTGACAGGTCCAGGGAATCTGAAAATGCACAAAGTAGCAGAGGGCTATTTCTTATGCTGCTTTAGCACAACGAAGGCCAAGCAGAATTATTCATGCAATCTTGACCTGCGGGTGTAAATACTTTGGGCAACAGGAAGGGACAAGCAGGTACCTGAGAAGCTTTTGTTCCTCACTGTTGTTCTGGAAACCTAGCACAGCTGTGGACATCTACATCTTATGCGTCCAAACTTGATCCAACGACGTCTTCCAGGGTCTAACATCTTAACCTGCAGATCTGGGACCTCTTTGTGTGTTCAGTGTAAGGGGTGGATGGATGGAGGGAGGAGTGATGGGTGGTGCTGGTACCTGCACTCTGTGCAGAGATAGACCGATCTGAAAGTGGGTTTGTGGCAGGAGCCGGAGAGAACACTGCCCAAGTATTCAGATGGAAATTGGCACAAAGTTTTTCAGCACAAATTGCTGATGGAAATAAGATGCCAGTGGTAAGGGGTAATGTTGGCTAAAAAGAGGAGGGCAGGCAGCTGAGAGCAAAAATTCATTGAATTTCCACATGCCACCTACCAAAGCCTTTAGCCTGGAACACGAGCACCGCTGTTCTTGGTAAACTTAACGGTCTGCAAACCCATGGGACCTGTTAATTACTCGTTTTTTGTATGAAATTTAATATATCGGATTTATTTTGTTGTTGAATTTGATTTCATTCTGGAAATATGTTGTTGCCCTTATAGCTGCAAAAGTAATACTGTCTGGTTCATCAGGCAGCTTGTGGTGGGGTAGCCTGTTCCCTTCTTTATCGTAATTGTGTTGCTTTACGTAGTTGGGTAGATTATGGCTGTAGAGACTAATTGCAACAGATTGTCATCTTGCCCCAAGAGTACCACTTGGCATTGATAGTAGGGCAATAGCAAGGTCCGTTGCACTTGAAAAGCACAACGTCTTGAGACGTGGAGAGAAAACGTGTGACATCTGTGCAGCCTGATCCCAAAACAAGGCATGGGATTTGTGGTTAGACTGAGGTTTGCAAGGGAATGGCTATGGGCAAAAGCTATCCGTGGATGTATGGTTTTCTTCAGCCACTATCCTAATGGCGAGGGCAGAGCTTTTTTCCACAAATCGGAAGCTAATTCCTGTCCCCAAAAGAGTGACTATCAGGTGGGTTGATGATGAGGGTTCCTTCTCACTGTGTTAATCTCTATCCTAAATGCAATTGCAGATTTGATCCGAAGAGAGCGGTGCAGCAGCTGAGAGCTTGTGGAGTGCTGGAGACCATCCGTATCAGTGCGGCTGGCTTCCCGTCCAGGTACCGTGCTGGGAATTCGGTGTGGTGTTATGCTGCTGGTCTGCTCTACTCAGCAAGTTCATTATCTGGGGCGAGGGAAGGAGAAGGAAACACTAGTGTTTTCAGGACAAACAGGGTTTATTTAGGTTGGTTTATATCCAGGATAGATTTTTTTGCACCCTTTTTTGTATATATTTTTTAAAAATTTTGCAAAATCCTCATTAGGTCCTGGGTTCCTCAAATCTAAGAGATTCATTATCAAGCGATGAGCTGCAAAGTGGGGCTGCCAGAGGGTGTGTTGTGTCCAGCGTTCCAGCTGGTGCCTTCAGTTTGGTCCCGAGAAGTAATTTGCTCTGGTGAAATCTCTGAAAACACTGGTGCGTGGCAGATAAAGGAATCCAGCTTTGATCCCATACAGAGGTGGACAGCAAGTAGCAAAATAACAGCTCTATATCTTCTACACCCATCTTGCCTGGAAGCAAACGTTGCCCTAGAGGACTACTTCCTTGCTTGCCTGAAGCTCCCTCCACAAAAGCTCCTTGCACTGTACAGTTTGCTTTTTGGGTTGGTTTGTTTGTTTGTTTCCTGGCTTCAGACACCTGCTGCAATAGTAATTTCAGCCAAAAATGTTTTGATTATTCTTACAGAGAATGAAAATAAGGGTTGTAAATTATTATTGTAGACTTCCACACCGCACATCCAAAGCATGCTAGGCTTCAAACTTCTGCCTTTTAAAAAGGAAGGGTTATGGGTGGTGTGACTCTTGCTGATTGTGATACAAAATTCAAAAGATGGTTTTAGGGCCTAATAAATCAGAAAACATAAACTATAAATAAGCCCTGACTATGACAAGGGCAAATAATTCTAAAAATGCATCAATTGCTTTTTAGTGCCAAGCAGCTTTGTGTTAATGTCAGCATAGCCTTTTTACATGGAACAAAGGAGTTATAAATACGCTCAGTGAAGAGTCGGCTAAGCGTGATGCTGAACGCCATGAGAAACTCCCTGTCCCGGTTTTTGAGGAGGAGCGTGCTGCCTACCAGTTACTCTCATCTGCTGCAAAGCTGCAAAGAGCCCCTGACAATTCACGGCAGCTTCTGTGTGGTGGCATGAGATGGTTCTGCTGCACTTAGCCCATGTAAAACCTCTGTTGGCCAGACACCTCCATGGACAGGCAAAAACTGGTGATGGAAAAGGAAAAAAAGGAAAAAAAAAAAAAAAAAGGTTTATAGAAACCGATATCTCTCCCTCTCCTCATCCAGCATGGGAGGGTGGCAGAGAGGTGAATGGAGATTTGGGTCTTCCTGTTGGGGGTCTGGCCCTGTTAGAAGACCCAGCATCATCTTTGGCTCCCGTCTCTGAAGTCTTCAAGGCATTTGTAGAAGTAACTAATAAAAACTTGCTCCTAAATGACATGATCTCTAAGCCACAACGAGGAATTAATAAGCAGCCCGTGGGTTGGGTCTTTTATTATCTTCTTTGTTAAAGTAGCTGCATGGTCAAATCCATCTGTCTCTCCTCTTGCACTGAAAGCCCTAGTGCAGTGAAACAGCTGTGGTGTCATTTGGAAGAGGCCACAGAAATGTTTTATGCTTGCTAAGCAAGTGGTTGCGCTCTCCAGTGTAGTGGGTGCTCCTGGCTCTGCAGCTGTGGGTCCCAGGGGGGATTTGGGGAGCTCCAACTTGAGGGTTGTCCATGGGTTTTGCTACTGGTCTTAGCACGGCTGCAGGGACACCCTGTTCCTCTCCATTCATAATTTTCCTAAACACTCGTAGCATTTTTCCATCTCTGCTTACTTAACTTGGTGCACTCCAGACCCTATGGCACTAAAATCGATGTATGATTAGTAACTGGGAAGGGGAAACAGAGGGGAGAAGCCACTGCAGCACCTGGAGACCAGCCAAGGTCTATTTACAGCAAATAATTGACTGGTGCGAAGACTGCTCCATCCTGAAAAACTCAAAAGCAATGTTTTATTTTACTCTGCTTGTATGCTTTTGGTCATGAGATCTTTTTCCCAGGATGCTAAGAATACAGAAGTCTTCCATCACTGCAACTTGTCAGCTTTTGTTCTTCCTGCAGGGGAAAAAAAAAAAAAAAGGGTGTAAATAGCTATTTCAGCCTTTCAGAGTGACCTTCTCCAGTTCAGTGTTTGGGATGCTTCAAGGACAGATTTTTTTGTTTATTTTAATGTTTCTAGAAGATAATCATATACAGCAACAAGTCAAAATGAAATAAGACACTCACTTTGGTAGTTCTTTACTCTCCTTGGTCATAAAATTCCAGTCTTGAAATCCAGACCCAGGAGTTGGACGACAGCAACGAAAGATTGTGAATAATCTGCATATTTGAATTGGCTTTATAAAGCAGCTTGGCAAAAGCAGGAAATGTAATAGATGTTTTAGTTCTTCCTGAGTTTTTACGTGCATGAGATCAATCTCAGTTTTTATCACAGCAAGCATTGATTATTCCTTTGTATTTCCTTATATTTTGAGACAAGTCAGATTATAATGGTTGACTGAGGATAAAAACCAAACAAGAGGGTCACTGTTCTAAATTTAAACCCTGTGTGAAAGATATAAATAGAAACCACTTAAAATAATGATGGAAAACTTCATCTTTGTGAGTTTTGCTTCACTTGGGTGTAAGCAATTTACCTTTAGAGCAACAGAGAATTTTCAAAATGTTTTATCTCAAGATAAGTTTTATTACAGAAACAGGATAAAATATTTATTTTCATCCTGTAGTATTTACATCTGAATATTTTCCAGCATACTGCCACAAGAGTAACTTCTGAGAGCGATGTGGCTTTGGGTCAGAGATGTCTTGATAAAGCCCCTTCTGCCTTTATTTCATGCATCTCCATCATGGTTACTTTATGGGTTGAAGAATTAAACGTTTTGAGGCTTTGATAATTTTTTTTTACCTGGTTATTTTAAGAAAAAAAAAAAGTTGGAATATAGTTTTTAGTGTTCTTTAGCCCATATAAGACATGATATATTCCCACTAAAAGATAAAGCCTCGTGCTCCAAACTTTGGATACACGTGGCTTTATTTTATCACTTCCATGGTATGCTGCACTCTGCTGCTATCTCAAGTAAATTGAAAATGTATCATTTGGTTTGAAACGTTACACAGCAATTAAGAAATGTATTTGTTAGCGTGTACATAAATGACTGTGATGAATGGACTGTCTTAGATGTGTAGATAGTAAATCTGTCATCAACTTCCCTGGGTAAAGCATGGAAGATCTCTCTACTATAAAACCATTCATCTTCTTTATAGAAACTGGCTACATAAAGATTAGTCTGTAGAGAATTAATTGGTATAGATCTCCATTAATAACAAAATATTCTTTAAAACAAATTTTTAACTTGCATTTTGTCAAAACTCAACATTTTTTTCCTTGCTAGTTCTCATGGTTTCCAGCCTGTGGTACAACGGCAGTGGTCTCCCACTGTGCAGTCACTCTGAATGATGTTGTCATTGCAGCCTCTCCGAAATACTCTTATTGTAGTTGTTATGTATGAAATTTATTGTTTGAAGTATTTTTGGCATTTGGCTGCTTTCTCTGGTTGCTGGAGCTGACTGTCAGATGCAGCATCTTGGTATCAGTTCAGTATGAAATCACAGCTGGTAAACTCTATAAACATTAAACATGCATAATTGAAATGTATCATGGGCATCCTTGGATAGAAAATAGTTTTTTAATAATGTGATTTTAGCTGTCTTGCAGTCATTTCAGGGAAACAAAACCTATAAAAAACTTTGGCTACCAGCAGTTCTGTTTGCCTCCTCCCTTCAGTCCCAACAAAGGTGTAATGTGTAAATAGAGAGGTTCCCCCCCCCCCCATTTTGCTCTTTGAATATATTCCAGATAATTTAAAGCCATGCCAGCGTGTATGTTTTAGAGCTAATTGAAAGGCAAATCTGTTTTGCTGCAGTAAACAAAGCAAAAGAAATTTTCTTCCTGAACTGCAGTTTCTGAAATAATTTAATGTCAAATCTTGGCTCAAATATACAACCTGCGTGCCCTCAAATAGGCTTCAGATCCTATAGAAAGATCGATACAGTCCAGCTCCTTACTGCTTAAAATATTGATCCCTTCAGGGACGGTACCTCGTGGTGCTGGCAGGATTTCTTACACGAAGCCGCGTGTGCTCAGCAGGCACTCACTCAGTGAGTGGGGGGCGGTGAATTTATTTACCCTTAAGGTAAAGATTTTGCATTCAGTAATTTTAGGCCACTGAAAGATACCATTTTTATGGTGAGGTCATAAAAGCTTCAAGCTCTTATTATGCTTCTCCTGTCAGCTCTTCATTCAGTGCCACTAAGATAGCACTGCTGTAATCACCCTAAAAAACAATAGGTTAGAGATATTTTGGGCAATTGCTGACTGCTTGTAGAGATGCTTTTCAGAAGCATCCTCAGGAGTCAGAATTTCATCCCCAGTTTCTTACCCGAGTCCTCCCTTCAATTGCAAGGTTGTAATTAATTAAGAGTTTAATGTAATTAAGAGTGCTAGCTCTGCAGCACAAGGGCTGCTCTCGGGTTCATAGACCTGTGATTTCGGGCAGGAGCATCCCCTTTGCTTCCCACCTGGCTGTAGTTTTGTGTAAAGCATTTGAATCTTGTTTTTTAAACCACAGATGCAAGGCTTAATTTATGGCATGTGTTATGGCTTATTGCCTCTGTCTAATTCCTGTAGATGACAAAGAAATTGCTGAGTCGACCAAGTCTGTTGCTCCTGGCCAAGCCCTTGAGCATCCTCCTTGCTGCTCAAGCCCACGGAGGGTTTTTTCACAGGCATAAGTTATTTTCCTGTGTCCTTCCATTCATTTTATTGCTTCTTCACTTCAGTGACCTGTGCTGACTTCACAGCAAAATTTTGATGTTCGAGGTGGGTTGTGCTTGATCTCAGCCCTGAGATTATTCTTTTTTTTTTTTCCCCTTGGGAAAGTTTGAGTAGTGTCTGTCCAGTCCTTTGTGCCTCCTCCTCCTTCCTTCTCAGTTGTATGGGTACAAAAAAATCCTCCTGGTTACAGCTCTTCACCTACGCCACCTGTCTGGATCTTATAACTTAATAATTATAAGGAACTGTGTTTATTTAGCGGCCCTTGGTGGTTTCCAGCTCCTAGCAATGAGGCATGCCTGTGTTGTGTGGCAGCATACTGAAAACCTGACGTCTGCTTTTAGTTTAATACCAGTCAACAAGTTGAACTGAGGTATAATCTTCCCTTAATCTGTCCTGACCTGCTAAGCTGCGGGGTAACGTGGCATGTCTTTTGTCTCGTGCTGGGAATCGCTTTGTGGTCTAGCAGGAGGGAAATAAGTTTTCTCTTTTCTCCTTTTCTCTGCTGAAAATGCAGATGTCTAACCTACACAAAAAAAAAAAAAAAGAAAAGAAAAAGAAAAAGACATATCTGTGCAGAAGGATAAAAAAAAGCGTGTGTGCACCAAAGCATTGAGCTTCAGTACGTCTGCACCAGAAAAATCTCCCTTGCAGGGTTGGGGGAATGATATTTCTTTTCTCTCAAAACATGTAGTTGTAAGGTGATTTTATACTGCTTTGAACCTGAAGTGGTTTAACCAGGTATGTTACATTAAACCTGAGTGCTTTAATTGTTCCTTTCTCTTGGGGGGGATCCTGTAAAAGCATCTATGAACCCCCGCAGCTCTTTTGCTCATTAATTGGGACTGCAAATATTCTGGTGAAACTCCTGATGGACCGGCTGAGCCCCGGCATGGCAGAGCCTTTGTCTTGATATCCTGCGGACAATAATACAAGCAATGTGATCTCAGGACTGTCATGTCCTGTTAAATCAGTGAGGATGGCGAGAGCGGCCTCGCTGCAGCAAGGGTGAAGCAGCGTTGTGCCGTGGAGGTGCAGCGTTTGGCTGTGAACCCCTGGAGATGTGGATAGAGGACTATGGATGCCACCGGCCGAGCAAAACACCCCGACAGCAGTGACCGTATTCTCTGCCACTTCCAATGTCTCATGTGAGACTTAATCCTAAAAAGTGAGTTATGTTACTTATGTTAAAGTATCAAAACACGTGGAAAATCAGTTTTTACCACCTTGTGAAATGAGAACGGCAGGCTCTGAAGAAAGATCCTCTGTGCAGTGACTTGAGACCTATTTTCAGGGAATTTCTGCAAGTGTCTTGTTTGTTTGAAAGCAGCTGCGGGATCTCCATCTCTGTCTCGGTGCAGGAAGATGATGGATTTTGCTGCTTTCCATCCAGCTTGGACCCGTGCCCTCAGTTACGTGTGTTGCCTCTTCGCCATCTGTTCTTTGCTGGAGGAGCCCGGGTGGCACCTGCAGGATGATTTCTTCCTCCAAATAACTGCAGTTAATAATATCAGCCCCTGAACTGATTCTGGCGGGTTAATGGGAATATTCCCTCCTTCTCTATTCTCCCCGCCAAGCTCTCCCTGGCTTGAGTACTACCTGAGCCAGGCGGAAGGTCTCCAGCATCGCGTGCTTGGCTGCATGCCTCGGGCACTGCGTGCTCTGCTTCTCCTATCGCGTTTGATTTGGAGCTGTGTAAAGCCTCAGACGTGCTTAAAATGAAAACGGGTTTTATTTGCACAAGGCAAAAGGATTACAAAATGGGAAAATGTAATTATAAAACAAAGGCTTCTGGAAGGCAAAGAGAAAGCAAGTTTAAACTTAAACCCTACATGACACAAGCCTGTAGTCACACGTAAACTTTGTGCTTAGTTTTGCTCTACCTCATCCCAGAGAGAGTTCCCCATAGCACGTATCTTCTTTTTTTAAGTGATAATCCAATACTTTTGCTCATTTGCAGGTGGGTAGCCTTGGCCGTCCAGCCCCAGGGCTGGCCCATATAGATAGGGATGAAATGTTTCCTTAATCTGGCTACTCTAGACTTACTGAGACAAATCCTCTCATCACAATTTCCTTCTTGCTCCTGTCTTCAGGAGCCCTCCAGCTCATCTGTTGATTCATGTGCAATGCTAAGGACTCTCTAGTTTTTGCCATTCCTACGTTCTTTGCAAAGGGTGTCCTGGGAGCCGTGTGTCCATGCAGAAACTGCGTGGCAATTCCCAGTCCTTAGCAGTCTGGCAGTCCGTTTTTTTGTGGCTTGGGGTTTTTTTTTTCCTTTTTTTTCCTCCTTCAGACTCTTTCCAAGCATTTTCTTCTACTACACTCCTTTAATTAGAGTATTGCTTTTAATCAAACTGGCTTTCCTTCCCTGCTGTGTTTTCTGAACTGATGTGAAACTGTGTTGGTCTTGTATTTTGAAATAAGTGTTATATTCTGCTATGCCAATCTTACCAAATATTCCAGCCTCCAGCCTTCAAGAGGTTTCATTAGTATTTTATAGAAATAACAGCCTTTAGTGTTGGAGGTACTCAGTGTGATGTCTCACCCAGCCCCACCACTGCAAACTGGCCAAGTGTAAGGACCCATCACAAGCATTGCTCTGGCCCTTTGCGATTTATTTTGCCTTTCTTCCACTCTCTCTTAACCTCAGAAAGTGGAAAAATAGGAAAAAATGGGTGTAATAACACAAAAAAAAAAGGCATGCGTGGGGCTGCTGGGTGGAGGAGGAGATGTTTCTGTATGGCTGCTCTTCATATCGTGTATTCTCATCTTGGCCGTCACAACATCCATGTGTGTGAGGATCAGGCTTACAGATGGTTTTGTTGAGTGAGGGCAGAAATCAAAATCTCTGCAATTCTCTCCCATCTTCCTTTGATGTTTGTAATGCATATTTTTTTTTGAAATAACGATGGCTGTACTTGACAGTGCTGGAAATTGCCTAGTGTTTTAATTAAAAACTCAGGTTTTGAGGGGTTCATAACTCACTGTGTTAATTTGGAGAAGGCTGAAACTTGGCACATGCTGAACCAATTTCAGGATCCAGTCTGCAGGCTCTACATCTAACAGCGGCGGCATGAGATGGTATTTCCTAGCAGTAAGATACAGTACTCTTAATTTCTTCAGTTAGTGTTGTGTGTTTGGAAGCTTCACTGCTGGTGACAGTTGAAGCATCTTCCAAGAAGCTACCTTGTCTTTCCAGAGTCCAAAGATTTTGTGTTTGTTTTAAGGGTCTCAGTCACAGACCAGTGCCATTAGTGAATAAAATGATTCAAATTCATATTCAACAGAGTTTGAAATGCAAACTAAGGAAGAGTTTCTATTTGATTCATTCTCTGTCATCGAGATTACTTTTTAAAATTTTTTGGCTAAATCAGGAGATGTATGATCTCTTCAAAATTAACATATCATTTCTGAAAGGCACAGCATTGTTGCATTTGCCTGGTAAAATGCAGCAGCTTGGGAAGCCCATCAGGAGAGGTGAAGGCAAGCCAATCCATGGCCTTTCTGTTCCAGGCTAGAAATGTTCTGCTAAGGGCATTCAGTGGCAGGGGGAGGGCTGAGACTGGGATTAGGCTTGAGTGACCTAGCTCCTTTCAGGTGGCTTCTATCCATGCTGAGGGTGGTGGTGACACATCCCTTGGTATACAAGTTTCATATTTTGACTTGTCTATGACTCCAAACACTTTATTTTAAGGAAATACTGCCCAGCCTGCAGACTTATCCTGTGTATGCTTTGCTTTCAGGTGGTCCTACCACGACTTTTTCAATAGGTATCGTGTGCTTATGAAAAAGAGAGACCTCTCTAAGACAGACAAGAAGCAGATCTGTCAGATCCTGTTGGAAGACCTCATTAAGGTGAGCTGAAGCTCATGGCTTTGATATGATCTGAATTGCTTTCCTTGCTCCTACTTCACCTGTTGTTTGTGCAGGTGCTTATTCAGTCTAAACATCTTGGGGCTTTTTCCAAAATGAGATAGTCTCGCAAGGAGATAGCAAGAACAAATGTGGTATGGGATCTCTTGATTGCAGTCAAGCTGAACGTGCCATTTCAGTGCTGGTGATGTCCAGAGTTTGCTATCACTGACTGTACATGAACAGCTGGCCATCTCCGGAAAACTTACCCTCCAACCCCTCCTGTATTTTGGCTAGCCGTAGCTGGAGCACATTTTAGAGGTCCAGCTTTGGATGCTGTGTACAACACCATGAATCTTAGTCAAAGTCGGTTCTGTCACCCCATTGCTACATGTCTCTTTGCACAAACGAGTAAGAGAAAAATGCAATAGTTACCCTATCTTGATGTGTGGGAGGCTTTTAATGGCCACTAATATGTAGAAAAAGCATCCTATAGACTGAGACTTTCCCCCCTTATATATATAAGCAAATAAGAAGTCTTTGCCACACTCCCTTACCAAAACCTTACTGCTCAGACTTGTGCATTATTTTTAAATTGCAAATGTGCACACAAAGGTTTCTTCCTGTTGTCTGTTGATGAGGAGCCCAGGATGTGCACAGCACCTTAGCCAGGTTTTAAGTTTTGATCCTTGTTTTCTTTATGGGATTTTGAGGAATTGACTCCATTGGGTTTCTGTCTGCAAAAGCCATTCTCCTTATGTGCCAAGTTTTTGTCTTGGCTGCAGAGGCATTTGCAGTGCCTGTACGACTTTGCAGATGGAAACCTTAATCTTTTTGAGAAAGAAATCTTTTGTTGAAGTCCTGTGGTGTTGCATTGCTCTATTTAACCTTAAAAACAAAACCCCCAAAAACCCCAACCAAACAGAAAACGAAAACCAAAAAATTCAAAATTTAGTGTAAATATATGGAAGTTAAGACTGAATCCTAGGGCTGCATTCCTCAGTGGGTGTATAGAAGTTCACGTAGTTTGGAATCTAATAATATCATCATCACCTGATTGAGAAGAGATGTGAGCTGAGCTGATAAATTTGATTCAAAGTGTGTTTTTTTTAATCTGTGTCTACTGAGCAACATGAACTGAAAAAAAAAATTAAAATGTTTGCCTTAATTAAATTTAGTTTCCTTTATGCTTTTGAAAAGGATCCAGACAAGTTCCAGTTTGGACGTACCAAGATCTTTTTCCGTGCAGGCCAGGTGGCATATCTGGAGAAACTACGAGCAGATAAGTTCAGAGCTGCCACAATCATGATTCAGAAGACGGTGAGGGGCTGGCTGCAGAGGGTCAAGTACAAAAGACTGAGGCAAGCTGCAGTTGTCATCCAGCGCTATGTGCGTGGGCACCTGGCACGGAGGTGGGTCCTAGGAAGCCCTCCAAGGAAGGGCTAGCTTGGAGGTCAAGTGGTAAAACACTGTTGGGTGTTCGTGTTTCTCAATCTGTTCCTTCTTGTAGACCTTAAACCTGGGGGTTTCATAGGAGAAACATTGAAAATGCTCTCCATGAGGTGTTGCCTTTCAGCCCTGTAAAAACAAGACCCATATTGTGCATGTAGGTACCACTATGATGAAGGCTTCTGTGCTAAAGTCAGGACTTGCTCCTAGCCCCTCTCCTCAGTGTTATTAGGGGGCAAGAGATCAAAATTCTTTCTCTCAAACCAATTTTGTATCTATATTGATTTAATTTCTAGGTTCTAGGCCAGGGCTATAACATAGGCAGTTAGGCTGTAATCAGATGACACTTCTGCAGGGACCAGGTTTGTGCCACCTTGGTATCCAAGGAGAGTTCTCAGAATTGATTCACTGCATCCTTTGTGATGAGAAAAATCACTCCAAATCACTGGTAATGGGACTATTTACAGTACAGAATAATAGAGTTCAGTGTTTAACTCTCTGTGTGCAGGAACCTTAAGCTTCCTCATGTCCGTGGTTTTCTGGGGTTTCTGTAGGTGTAACGCTGCACTGGGAAGGAGGCTGCTAGTAGCAGATGTGGGGTGGGTGTGAGTGGGCAGTAAATCAATTTCATAACATCCCAACACACAGGTTATCTTGCATCTTGTACCCCTTATTCACGTCAAACTGCCATTCCTCTGTATCTAGCCAAGTTGGCTTCAGTCGCTTCAGGGATAGGAACAAGGAGTAGATTTGGGTCCTTTCAGCTTTGTTCCCCTTCTTGATTTCTGCTCTGGTGTGTTAGCTATGTTGATTGGTTTTGAGCAGCAATGTTCTCACTGGCATCTGCCCATCACAAGTGCTGCTTACCTAATCTGCAACCCAATTAACTCTGCTTGCACTTGGGTAACATGAGACGCTACCTGTCTGCTACAAGGCTCCTGCACAGTCACTTCTTTCCTGATTTCTGGATGAATGTTGATTTCTATCAATTATGGAAGCAACCAAAGGTGAAGAACTTCCATGTTCCTTCCAAGGATCTCCTGTAAATCATACTGTATTGGGAAGAACATCAGAGATGCTAACTGAGTTTGTGGTATTATTTACTCTTGTTAAATGTATTGGCCTCTTGGAGAATCCGGGGATTAGAAGGTCTCAAATGAGCAAAGCTGGGCAGTTTGGTGACTTTTATTTAAAACTGAGCACAGATTTTTCTTGACCTCAGAGCTCCATGTATTTCTCTAGGCTCATAGCTGCAGGTCCCTCTCAGCAGTCTTGCAGCTCACTTGAGGACAAGGCAAATGAGACCTAAGCAATAAGAGGAAGATTAAGAAAAAGGGGGAGTTGGTGATTAACTTTAGTCTCTCTGGTGGGCTCTCTGTGCACACCTACAGACTTGGACTCTGTATTTGCCTTTGCATCAGCCAACCATCTCTCTAGGCAGGGGAGGAGGAAACCCTGGTGATGTGGAAATGAGAGAGTATGAGCTAAAAAGAGAGGCTGGAAGCAGATGTGCAGAAACCACTGAAACTCTGAACACCCAAGGGTACCCTTGGAGATGGACTCTTGCTACCTGGTGTTCAGTGTCAGTAGTGTTTCTCTGGGCTCTTTTCTGGTGCAGTGTTTCTTCAACGTGATTTTTCAGTTCACCTCTTTGTGCTGGTTTCGCAGGGTTGGATGTCATCTGAATAACTGCTTTCTGTTTTTGGAAACAGACAGTCCCTTGTTCTCATTAGTAAGCTTTGGTTCAATGGGTCCTAATGAGAAACTGTTGGCCTTAATGAAGAGAATATATAAGCAAATTCAATATGGCTGTTTTAGTTTTGATATGCTTTTCACAAAATCATAGAAAAAATAAAGAAGTGGATCAAGTATCTATATAATTCTTCATGCTGAAAGCAATCAATGAGTCATAACTTCAGCAAAACAAGCTAATTATCGTATTAAATGGAGGTTTTATGGGCATTTATTAACCTGTGTAACAGCAAATTGAACATTAATTCAGTTGGAGAATTGGAACAACATGTCGTGGAGTTGACCACATCCTTCATTATTTACTCTCTGTGAATTGCTTGGGGCTCTGCTCCTGAACGTTGCCAAACCAGTGCACACTGGTTTAAATGTCAAATCAATTTACAGCCGTTTTCACTGAGTCAGTAGATACCCTATGCAACGCTTGCTTTTTATAGTTAGGGAAGTGATGGAGCCAACCTGGGCATTGATTGGCTCAAGTACGTAAGGTAGAGAGTTTGAACCAGGGAAAAAAGCTGGAAAATATTTGGTTTTAATGCTGTTTAGGAATAGCAAGGTGTATTGTTTTCTGGTTGCAGTGCTCCTGGGTGCCAAGGATGCTGTCTGATTGCATACATGTTCCTATTAGTCTAATGGAGACATGCAATTAGCTGCTGTTTTCTTAGCCTTACTGCTGGGATGGTCTGTCTTGAATACCATCAAGCTACTTTTGGTCAAAAGGTTTTTGTCTCTGTCCAGTTTAAAACTTACTATGACAAAAAGAAAAAAAAAAAAAGAAAAAAAAAGAGCAAAAAAGAGTTCAGTTTTACTGCTAACCTTTTTCCTGTGCTTTGCAGACTTGCCGAGCACCTGAGGAGGACAAGAGCTGCCATCATCTTCCAGAAGCAGTACCGAATGTTGCGGATCCGCCGAGCTTTCCAGAGGGTCCGCAACGCAACCATCACCATTCAGGCTGTTGCTCGGGGCATGTTTGTCAGGAGGATTTATCGCAAGGTACAACTCCATGGAGTGTCTTTGCATTAGAAATGAGTAGGAAGAGTCTTTATATTTACCTCTGCTGGCATAGCACGATGATGTATTTATTGCTGCTGTGATGTTTTATGAAGCCGACTGCCTCTGGTGTTTCTGGAGAGCACACGGTGATGGCGGGCGTTGCCATTTAAAGCTGTGCAAGCAAAAATGATTTTGGCAACAGCACCTCAGAATGAAGTTAGTCATTCGGATGCCGGAACGCATTGTGGAAATCTGGAAATGTCGTTTGATCTAACCCATACTCTGCAAAAACCTCCCTGGCAAACTGAATTTGTGTCTGAGCTGTGCTGCAGGTGCCGTTTGCAGCATGGTGGGAAGAGTGGTAGGGTCTGTCATGGAAGGCATCAAGTAATTTATCGATATAAATCCTTCTTTAATTAGTTCTTTCCATTAGCTTTCTGTATTAAACCAGGAGCTGGCAGCAGGAAAGTAAAGGCTTGATGGCAGTAGGTGATATGGTGAATGGTCATCTCTGTAAAGAAACTAAGAATTGCTTTGGGGAATCTTCTGTCCACTCTTCAGATCCAGCCTTACTTTGGTAGTGACCTAAATTTATGCCTGATGGGTTGTCATAGGGGTACTTGAAGAAGTCAGAGGCATGATGAGCCCGTCCTGGAGATGACGGATTTACCTGGACACCTGGCGACCCACCAGAGACATCGGGGATATCCACCAAAACAGAGCAGCTGCATGCTGCGTCATAAATGTATCAGGCATTTATGCTGCCATTGCTTTTTCAGCATCTGGTTTTTTTTAATTGGAAGCCTCTACAGGGAAAGCAGCTAGTCCAGCATTCAAACTCTCTGAGATTCAAGGCAACCCAAAATCTTAACAAGATGTAGAAATTGGTTGAAGGCCAGGCCTCTCAAATCTGGATATCTTCAATCTCTGGAGCACCTGGATATAGGCGGCAGTTCAAGTGCATGCTCAGCAACAGATGCAGGGCTGCAGGTGATGCTCTGTGGGGTCAGGGCATGCCTCGTGACCACCAAGACTTTGCTGTAAGGCTGGAGTAGGTCCTCAGGGTAACGCAGTAGGGTTTCTTCTAGCTTTTTGGGGACCTCCAGCTTTCTCTGTCTTTAAGAGTGCCAAGGCTGAAGACATACAAAGCTTATTTCAGAGTAACTCCTACTGCATCCTAAGTTCACACAATCCCTTTATTCTGAATTAAAAATTTACAAGTTCGAAGAAAGCCTTAGGGTGAAAGAAGAGATTTGTAAGAGAAGCTCATATGGTACCTTTTCTGATACAACTTATCCCAAACTAATAACAGTAAAGTGTCTTGTAATCTTTAAATTCTCCTGGTATTTCTTTGCTCATAATACTGCAGCAGAGATCAGCATAAGAAAGTTATTTAACAACATGCTGGTTGTATCTCTAATATGTCAGCCTTCAGTTTTAGAAGAAGGAATTGAACTGCCACCTACTGAAATTTTTTGGGGAGAAATACAATGCAAAGCTGCCAGAAGTTTCACAGAAACAGATATAAGTTTCTAGAAATTGAATCATGCAAGAGAGCTGGCTGCAGACTCGAGAGAAGGGACTCCAGGGTTTTATTTGACCATTATCCATATGATAAGAAATCCCACCAGGACATCGTTTATCTGCAGTATATGATAATGCAGGGGCAGAACAATGGAAAAAAAAAAAAATCTAAAAAACTGTTCTGGTGTGAGTTATATCTGATGCTGAAGGGATAGTAAGTTTATTGCTAAGTGTTGGTGTGTCAGTTAATGGCTATTTAGTCTTCTAGCTATGGATCTTGTGAATCTGAGTACTATTCCGAGGTAGAATGTATGTTCTGTTCCATGAAGTATGTGAGCCCAGATGTCTCCTGTCCCCATGGAGTGTCCTAGTCACCAAACAGGACCATATCCCCTCTTGTTTCACTGGCTGAGCACGTGTTGCCTCTTTTCAGAGAGCAGCGTGGTTCCTAAGAGAGGGCTGGATGTGTCCTGCCTGCATCAGTTGAGTGCAGTGACTGGAGACACCCCCCAGGGGAGGGGACTGCAGTACCCCTTCCCATCCATGGAAGAGGATGCACAATAACAGCCGGTATCTCCAGCCATCACCCCTGGCACCTACCAAGACGATCCTGCTTGGAGGAGAAGCCCTTTTGAAGGCAGATTGGGAAGTGTTGAGTGCCATGTTGCAGCAAAACCAGAGCTGCCCCTACCTTGCAAGTGACTTCTCTCCCTTGATTGTCCTGTTTCTGCCCATGTTTTATAGATCCTCGTGGAACACAAAACCACCATCCTCCAGAAGTATGTCCGTGGCTGGCTGGCCCGCACTCGCTTCCGCCGGGTCAGGGGTGCCACCATCATCCTGCAGTGCTACTACCGGCGCATGAAGGCCAGGCAGGAGCTGAAGGCGCTGAAGATTGAAGCCCGCTCAGCGCAGCACCTGAAGAAGCTCAACATTGGCATGGAGAACAAGGTGGTCCAGCTTCAAAGGAAGATCGATGAGCAGGTACGTCCTGAGCTGCGCTGGGACAAGTGTGGTCCTGCTTCTGCTTTGCTTCTCTTGTGCTTTATTTATCTTCCCATGATGTCTGGGAAGTAGCCAGCCTCCTGCCGCTGCTGGCCAGACACTTGCAAGGGTGGGACACTGCCAAGGAAGTGCAGATGCACTTGGATCTTCGGTCTACACCTTGCTGTCTGAAGAGCTTGCTCAGCAAGCTGCAAAAGCTGCATTGTAATTGTTGTGAGAACTGCCCAGAAGGACTTGGAGCAGGGAGATAAACTGGCAGTTTTGAAAGCTGTGGTTTGAAAAACCAAGCTTGGCTCCATGTGAGGTCCCTATGTGAAACAGGCTTTGGCCATTACACTTTCTGCTTTGCAAGCGCTGGGGATGCAGAGCCTCTGCCACAGTACTGAACCCTATGTCTTGTGAGTCACATTACCTGGAAAGTAAAGGGTAAATTGGGTAAATACTCACTTTGCAAGGTAGTTTGAGCATGTTTGTGTTTTACCTGACATAACAACTGCTCAAAAACAAGAGCCATGGTGAGAGGTGAGATGGTGTGATGTGATAGGTGTCTGTGGGGAGGGTTAGATGGTCTTATGGTGACAACATGATCATAGGGAGGTCGTTGTCTAATGCCACTTGTCATTAATGACCCACAGAACAATAGTTTGATTACACACTTAGGAGGAGGGTTTCCTCCCCTGTTAACATGAGTGTGCAAGTTATTCTGATAAATACCCTCTGCTGCTTCCAGTACTGTACAAGGGTTTCAGGGATGAGTATAAAAAATGCTGTGTGTGGCCCAGTTGTGTCCACTAATATTAATGGAGACTTTAATATCCATCTATATCCTTAAAATGCCCTTTTACAGGCAGGAGAAACGGTCTCTGTAAGTCAGGATACCTACTTATTTGTAGTACCAGTTATTAGTAATTGCAGTTTGTCATTGTGTTCCGGATGTTGTCAGGAACCCTTATACATGACACGCGGTTTCCTCGCCACCTTAAATCTCTCCCATCCCTGTGTGACAGTATGAGAGATCCTGCAGTGAAGATGACGAGAAATGACTCTGCGTTGGCTCAGATACTGCAGAGTCAAGACACCCGGGGATTCGCATTACTGCTGGCCGCTTTCATTGCTGCATTAATTGGCTGCAAAGCGTGCACCCCAGTAGAGTCTGAATTGTAAACTGCGGTGTTTAATTATAAAATGCCTGCTTGTGTACTTAGATTTTGCAGACAAACTGTAGCTTAGGAATGGAAAACTGTAGGCATAAGGTTCCTTATATATCAGTACATCAGAAACCTGTTTGATGGGACTGTCCCTCATCTGGAGGGTGTTTAGTGAAATTAAGTAGGATGAATCATTTCAGGTCCTTGTATTTGGGCTGAACTTGTGCAATGCGCAGGAATATCTGTGGTAGGTCTGCTGGGCTGCTGGACTTGGCGGTGGAGCAGTGGTATTAATTTATATTTTTTATAATTTTTTTCCCCCCAGTTCCTTGCCATTTGCTGGTAGGAAAAGCATGAGGGTGGAACAATAAAGAAAAAAAACAATCTTTGGTTAATGGTGGCTTTCCTGTCTTGCATATTATGAAAGCAGCACAAAGGTCTACTTTGGGGAAGGAGACATGGAGAGCTTTTAAGTAGGCAGAAATAACGGGCTGGAGCTCATCTTCATCTCGCTCGGTCTCGGCACAGACCGTTCTGAAGGAGTTACTTTGCTCTCTGCATAACTTCTGCAGGAAAGGATTGCTGCTCTGTATTACTCGTGGCAGTCTGTCCAGTGAGCTAATTTTAACCACTGTTTCAGGACTGACAGGTTTCCCTGGGATGCTTTGGAAGTGCTAATGAGCACCATTCCAGTGGACTTTCTTTTTGGTGCACTGGATTTTTTTTCTGGCAGCAGTGAGTTTGTTGCATTGTAGTTTCCCTGAAGTGACTGGACTTCAGTCCTTGATAATCTACAAACATGACCTTTCAAAATGCCAATTAACTTTTTAAGAAAAAAAAAATAAAAATTGCAGGAAACCTGGAGAGCTGCAGTTGTATCATTTTCTGACTAGCTGTGGAAGAAAATGTTTCTATTTCTGCTACTTTAGCTCATGCATGAATAGAGAGATGCAGTACTCCGTGTGCCCCCGAGGAAGAGAAGATCTTTCTTTGAAGTCATTAAAACCTATTATTGTATGTCAGCCTCAGCTCACGTGCTCTAGCATCCATAACTGGGCCTATTTAATATAGTTTCTAGCTCAAGTGAGGGATTTTTTTGCACACACAAAAAAGGTTTAAAACTGTTTTGCTGCGAAATATCCTCACTGGACCACTTTCTTCTTTTTTTTTTTTGTTCTTTTCATTTAAGTGAGTTTCTCTAAATGTGTATGTTGTAGCTGCCTGAAACGCTTTCAAGGCTGTTACCTAATTTAGTGTTACGTTTTTATGCAGCCGGTATTTAGAGTTATAGTGAGCTCCCCACACTGTCTCTGCAAGCGGCAGTATCTCTGTGAGCATTTAGTATAAATAAAATTAGTTTGGGTAACAGTAGTGATGAAATTGTTGGCTCTGCCGTTGGTAGCAAAATAAACACTAGATTGGTTCACAGAGCCTGGGTTGAAATCGGGATTGTCACAGCTCTGCTGGGCTGGATAATGATTTAATATAAAGTTCAAGTTTAACGGGGTCTGTTGAGGAATCTCTGATTGCAGCAGGGACCAACTGTTTTGGTACGAGACAGTAAATGCTCTCTTGTGTCTCTAGTAGCTAGTAACAAGAAAAAGCATTCTCGTGCATTTATCTTGTATCTGGATTGAAATCTCAGTTGGCTGGTGTGTAAAATCATGTACATAAACCGTGGGACACAAAGCCATGAAACGTCTGTTGGAAAACGAGCAGAGACTGGGGGAAGCGGCAGAGATCTGTGAACTGGAGTGATTATTGCCATCCTCTGCAGAGCTCTTCTTTCCAAATGGATCTCTTTGGAAATGACTTTGGTCATGCAGAAATGTTAATTCCTTAATACCACATAAGTGCTGAATTTTGATGTTCGCTAGTAATTAATTACAAAGGAGCAAAGGAAAAGATGTTAATGTCCCTTGTTTACTCATTTTTCCATTTGAGATGTGTCTTAATCTTGCTGTAGAGCACTGGGACTGCAGCGACAGAGGTCACCTAGAGAGGGGCCAAAAGGATGGTCAGAGTGATGGTAGAAGGAACGATCTTATGAGCCACACTGGGAATCTAAGAGACTAATCCAAAGTATGGGCGGGGATTTTGGTATCCACCAACTCACCATGCGTTTGTACAGGGGCCTGTCTGGTCTGGAAGAACCTGTGTAGACCTAGAAGATAAAATTCTCTACTTTCCTGGGTGTTTGTTGTTTGGTTTTTTTTTTTTTCCTTTTCCAGGCTATAAAGTTCTTTGAAAACTAACTGTCTTGTACAGGAGCTTTTCTTATCCTCCACATCAACTAAAAGCTTCTGGATGGAGGGAGCGGTTTCCCATGAGCTGGTGTAACACTGCTGGTGACTAAAGCTCTGAGAAACAGCAAAAGGCTAAATTTGCAGATTAGCAGCACACTCATCTGGTCTGGACAGCAATCTCTTGTCAAATATTTTCCAGCAAGACCAGGAAAGACCAAAATTGGTATTTCTGATGCTCAAATGAAATATCCACCAAAATCCCATTTCAGAACGGAATGTCTTTTGGATCTTTTGTACAGTGAGTAATGTGAACACAGGTATTTAAAGCTGTATTGAAAGCTTTCAAAAAGGAAATTTAAAAAATGGACTACATTTTAAATTTCAAACCTGTTCTTTTGCTCTCATGATTATCTACCTAATGTTAGCAAAGCTATGTGATAGAGTCTTTGCTGAAGCTCTTGGTCTGTTGTGAATTCATTGCCATTTCTGGAGCTGGCTAATAATGATGTTTTATTAGTCATAGAATCATAGGATCATAGGATATCCTGAGTGGGAAGGGACCCATGAGGATCATCGAGTCCAACTCCTGGCTCCACACAGGCCCAGCCGAATCAGAGCACATGACTGAGAGCGTTAGCCAGACGCTTCTTGAACTCAGTCAAGCTCAGTGCCGTGACCGCATCCCTGGGGAGCCTGTTCCCG